CCTACCGGTTCAATAATTGGCAAAAACGGGAGGTGGCGGTAGTGGTACCGCTCTTTTTCCCGTGGCCTGGAGCAGTTACCGGTAGCAGGCCCTCCGTTTTTGGCTCGTTTCCCCAGGGGTGTGGCCTAGACATCTCGGCCGTGGCATAAGCAGGCACGGAAATAATAATAATAATGATAATGATAATAATAATAATAATAACAATAACATAAAAAAGTTTCAGGCGCAGGAAAAAAAAAAAAAAAAAAACACAAGTGGCCGCCTGATTTTGCCACATCTGGCCCGAGGTTCCACTAGCAAACTGGATCGGATGGAATGCCTGAATGTGGATGTGTTTTATGCAGAGATGCAGAAAAGCAGTTCAATCTCTATTTCCTGCACCTCTCTACAAACACGTCCAGATGCAGGCATTCGATCCAATCCTCTTTGCTAGTGGGACCACGGCCCTGAACTTCCAACAGCTAGAAGTGCACAAAGTTGTAACAGTTCTGCTTTTTGCAGTTTCTAACTGCCCTCTCTCGTGGAGCATGGTCCCATTAGCAGTCGGATAGGAGTTTGGCCGAACCAGTGTGACACTGAGTGGCAGCTGGCTGACAGGTTCATGAAGAATTTCTGGGCTGAGAAAACAGGAGAAAGGCGGAAAAAAAAAAAGAAACAGAGACCTGTCACCGGAAATCACGGCAGAGTTCTTCCCAGCCATCAGATCATAGATGATCTGTTGGTGGTGGTTGCAATAACAGTGAACAAAGTAACTGCCACATTTTCTGGAATAAACTCGATGTCTGTCAGCAGTGATCCTGACACCCTCCATATACTTCGTGATTGAAGGAGGGCTCCACCCAATGAGATAATTGCACGGCAGCAAGTGAAATACTGAAAATCTTCTATCCAGTGGGCCTATGGCCGACGCCATCCTCTTTTGGGGTTGGCTACACCCCCAACCGATTGAAAAGATTCTGGCGGGAAGCTTCCTTTGCACGGGCATGCCCAGTGTTAAGGAGAGGAGGAGGGGAACAAACATCTTCTTACTTTTTCGGGTAATACGTGTAAAATACTGACTGTGGGATCACGAGTACTGCACGGCAGGATTTGGGTCACTCAACTGTCCCACAAACTCGTTTCTATCCTATCCGGTTGCTAGCGGGACCATGCTCCTGTTTGTTATTCCTTCCTGCGACTTCGGAACTAAGCAGCAGTCACCCGCGCACTTTTTTTTTTTTTTTTTTTTTTGTATCCTACCTTCTTGCTTTTTTCCTCAGAATGCGGCAGCCCCTAATGTTATTACCGTATGTATTCTTTTGATTCCATCAATTGTGCTCTCATCAATCAAACCGGCAGTACGTTTCCCAGCCGTTTTTCTCCGATGCGGCTGCCTGCACACCTCAACTTTCGGGGGTCGGCTGCCAGAGCAAGCTGAAAGGAGACCTGCGCCAGTTTGTATTTTTGTGGCGCACAAGGTCAAGCCTCAGGAACAAGCGGCTCTGGAGTACTGGTGGTGGTTTAAACCACCAGTTCAGGCCCCATCCAGGAAAAGTCACGCCAAGGAGGTGGGGGGTTGGAAGTAAGTATGGGTCTGCCTGCGGCTGGTTCCTCTTTTTTTATTTTTGAAAAGGCGTCAGCCTTGAGACATCCTTGTCGAACTGACCAGCCCCAGGTTATTGAGAATGAGTTGATTTTGGTTCAACTGGTTCTATGAAACGGTTTTCACCTCTTTGCAGTAGCAGACGCAGACCAGGGTTCGATCCCTAGACCTTGCCCTACCTGTGTACAGTACCTGTGTAGATCCCGAGAGTTGAACCTGTGACCTGTGTATTCGTAAACAGTTGGTAGGCCGTCATAGGTCCGTAGGTAGCAGGGGTTCGATCTGTAGACCTGTAGAATAGAAGTCTTAGCAAGTTCCAGAAGTCTTAGCTGTAGTCCTTCTAGAAGGTCAGCAAGCGGGCAAGTGGGCAAGTGGTGAGTCAAATGGTGGACTAAACTGCAGTGCAATTGCAGTACAACCTCGGTAGTTTAGCAGTGAGTCCCCACTCAGTCAGTGGTAAGGTCCAGTCAGTCCCAGTCCGGTTCAGCAAGTACCACAAGGGACTGTGAGCACCATGGGCCGATGGCAAAGGGCAGACCATCGAGTTTCAGAAGTATAAATCAAGAGGCAGCGCCCAGCCATTCATTCATTCCTGCACGAGCCATGCGGAAGCGCTGCCACAGCGACTTGTGCAAGGAGGTCTGCAGTGAGCCCGGAGCAGAAGTGGGCGAGAGAGAAGGAGCGTAGCATAGCAATAGGGTAGTTGCGGCCATAGCCGCCATAGCTAGAGTTAGTGTGTAGTTAGTGTGCGTGTGTGTGTGAGTTCAGAGAGTCGCGTGTGGGATATCCAGGGTGATCCGATGTATGTGAACAGTGAGTTGTTTGGGCGCTGAGTCGCCATAGCCAATTGAAAGTGAACTCGTATCTGGATGCCATATCTCTGAGTTTTGAGTGGACGCATGTCGCCAGTTTGCTGCGCTACTGTTTACATGCATGAAAAGTGTGAATGA